GTGTATTCTTTATTTTTATTGAGATTTATATATTATTATTACTTAAATTATAAAAATTANATTTCATATAAACAAATAATTTTTTACCTTAAAAACTTATAAAATTTACAAAGGTCGTAATAATACCTAAAGCAATATTACTTATTTCTAAAACCTGAAACCTTAACATATAAAACCTAAATACTGAATTCTTAAGATTAATTCTATAAAGATAAAAAAATGTATTAAAAAAAGTGTTAAAAAAAAAAAGTTGTATTCAGAAAAAAAATGTATAAAAAAAATATTGAAAAAAAAGTTGTATTCATAAAAAAATTCTATTAAAAAAATTGTTATAATAAAAAAGTTCTATTAAAAAAAAAATATTAAAAAAATTGTTATAATAAAATAGTTCTATTAAAAAAAATATTAAAAAAAATTGTCATAATAAAAACGTTATATTAAGAAAAATGTTGTATTAAAAAAATTCTCATAATAAAAAAGTTGTATTAAGAAAAAAATTGTATTCAAAAAAAAGTACTAAAAAAATTGTTATAATAAGAAAGTTATGTTAATTAAAAAATAATATTAAAAAAAGAGTTAAAAAAAAAAGTATTAAAAAATAAAAATTGTAATAAGAACAGAGAAGAAAAAAGTAATAATAAAAAAAATTATTAAAAATTTGTAATACAAAAACAGTTACATTAAAAATAAAGTTGTGTTAAGAAAAAAATGATATTAAAAAAAAATTGTATTAAGGTTAAAATTGTAATAAAAATAAAGTTGTATTGAGAAAAAAATGACAATAAAAATAAAGATGTGCTAAGAAAAAAATGATATTAAAAAAAAATTAGTATTAAGAAAAAAATTATAATAAAAAAAAGTTGTATTAAGATTAAAAATGATATTAAAAAAAAGTTCTATTAAGATTAAAATTGTAATAAAAATAAAGTTATATGAGAAAAAAATGATAATAAAAATAAAGATGTATTAAGAAAAAAATGATAATAAAAAAAAAATTGTATTAAGATTAAAATTGTAATATAAATAAGATTGTATTACGAAAATAATAATAATAATAAAAAAAACTTGTATTATGATTAAAATTGTTATATAAATAAGATTGTATTAAAAAAAAAATTATATATTCTTTAATAAAATGAAATATATATGTGTGTAATCATTACCCTTTCATTTATAAAAATTATATAAAGAAACTTTAGTAGCTTTATATAAAAACAAATATAACTTGAGATATATGTATCATGTAATACTTTGTATAATGAATGCATGCATTCCATTATTATGAAAATTCTCCTTAATTGTGTTACATTTATATCTATATATTTTTATTTTTATATTTAAAACAAAATATTATATTTATCATTATTATTTTTTTGTTGTAGAATATTCTTCAACATATACGTTAGCTTTTATTGTTCTTTATTTTAATTATATATATTCTTTCTTTTTTCTTACACAAATAAATTAAAATATATTATATATGTATGTTAGTAATTTTTTAATTGCTTATTCAATGATTTTTTTAGAGTGTTGAACAAACAGATTAATAAAGAGCATGCAGATTTATCTATACTAATATAATGAACTTAAATTTTTTTTTAATACTCTAAACCAGTAAATTGTATTTGTGTTGTCTAATCAGTTCAGTATTTATTTTTTTCCATAGGAGTTTATTTACCTTAATAAAAGTCCTATATTTTCATTAAAAACTTAAATCATCATTATTTATTTTGATTACAAAAAAAAAAAAAAAAAAAGAAAAAATTTTCAAATAAATAAATACATTTTATATTATAATATTTCAATTAGAATTAAGAATTTTTCATTCTTGAGAGGAGTGTATGTACAAAATTATGTTCCAATATATTCTTTATATTTTTAATAAATAAATCTATTTGTAATATTATTTACTTTTCTATATTAGTATTAATAGAATAAATAATTATAAATTTAATTATATAATTTTCTTTTTTTATTAATTTCATTAAATAATATAGTATTATATATATATATATAAAAATAAAAAAAAAGAATTTTTCATTATTTCAAATTATCATTCTTTTTTGCAGTGAAAAAAAAAGAAAAAAAAAATTATTGTAAATTTTAAATGCAATGTAAATTTTTTTTTTTTTTTTTTTTTTAAATCAAAAATATTTTAGCGGTTGTACGTTAAAATTGTTTATGTTAATAACATTTTATCACTATAACGTATATACATTATCTTAATTACATATTATTTATAAACATCCTGCATTAATATTAAATCAATTTATGTATCTTACGATATAAATGGTCATTATGCCACAGTTACTTTTAGAATTGATACAAATTAAATTACATAATTTATTAATATAAATAACATTAAAAAGTTGTAATATTCGATAATCATGATATTCACCAATATAATATGTTTATCATTATACTTATTTTTACCTTTATTATCATTAAAAAAAAAAAATTTTAATTTTTTTTTTAAAAATTTTTTTTATATCTTTGAATCTTTAATTCATTCAGAATAAAAATAATTATTTTTAAATACATACATTAATATTAAATAAATTAATTTTCTATAATTGTAGTTTATTTTTATCATTTATTTAGAAATTTCAAACAATTCTTTCTATTAAAAAAAAATAATTTCGATATTTCAGTAAAAAAGCAAGCTTTATAAAAAAAGTATATCTTATTAATATTTTTAATTTCAAAAAAAAAAAAATTTTTTTAGTTAATATTTTTAAATTCTTTATATTTACGCTATTTTATTTATTATATTAAGTATAAAAAATTAAAAAGAAGAATTATAATAAATTATTAATCATTTACATAAGCTAATGCAAATTATACAATAATATTAAAAAAATAAAATGAAATAATCATTGCTCAAGTAATATTTTAAAACAAAGTTCTCTTTCTCTTTCTCTTTCTCTCTCTTTCTCTCTCTCTGTATATATATATATATATGGATAAAATAAAATTATAAATGTTTAATTAAAAGTAATATTTACACATATTATATATTATATTATATTATATTTTTTATCCTTATGGAATAATAATTCAAACGAAAAATATATAAATTCAAGCATATAATTACAAAAAATAAAAACAAAAAACATGAAAATAAGATAAATATTAGTGGTATGTAAGTAAAATAGAAGAATAGTTATGTAAATTTAAATTATAATAAAAATAATACTATTAAAACTATTATTTTATATAAAAATATAAATATGTAAATATATAAAATAAAAGCGAACAACAATTAGATATAGAAAATGAGAAATAATATGCATAGAAAATTCAAGGAATGAAGTTAAAGCAATTTAAAATTGTAATCATTTTTTTATTCTTTAGTTTTTTTATTTAGTTTTATAGCATACTACAATTGACATTTTATTTTATTAAGTATGAAATATATAAATCCTATGTTTATATAAAAAATTTATTTGAAATTACTTCTAAAAATATGCATTCTTTATTTACGAAAAAATAATAAAAAAAAAATTAGTTTTTTAAGATATATCTAAAATTAAAAGATCATAATGAAAAACATAACTTCCTTTTATGAATACAGTATAATGATATATTTCCTACAAGTGCACTTTATATTTAACTGATCCTTTTTTATTATATTTAATTTTATTATATCTAATAAGATTACGTTAATAATGATAAACGAGAAAATAAAATACATTATTATAAAATAATAAAAATTACTTCAATAGAATTCAAATAAGCTCAAGTTTTGAAAGTAAGCATTTGAATAATAAAACTATAGAAAAGAAAAAAAAATTAAATAATAAAAAAAAAAAAAAATTTTTTTTATATCTTTGAATCTTTAATTCATTCAGAATAAACATAATTATTTTTAAATTCATACATTAGAATTAAATAAATTAATTTTCTATAATTATAGTTTATTTTTATCATTTATTTAGAAACTTCACACAATTTTTTTTATTACAGAAATAATTTCGATATTTCAGTAAAAAAGGAAGCTTTATAAAAAAAGTATATCTTATTAATATTTTTAATTTCAAAAAAAAAAAAATTTTTTTAGTTAATATTTTTAAATTCTTTATATTTACGCTATATTATTTATTATATTAAGTATAAAAAATTAAAAAGGATAATTATAATTATAATAAATTATTAATCATTTACATAAGCTAATGCAAAATTGTACAATAATATTAAAAAAATAAAATGAAATAATCATTACTCAAGTAATATTTTAAAACAAAGTTCTCTTTCTCGTTCTCTCTTTTTCTCTCTCTTTCTCTCTCTCTCTCTCTCTATATATATATATATATATATGGATAAAATAAAATTATAAATGTTTAATTAAAAGTAATATTCACAAA